ATCTTCCTTTAATCAATAAAAGGTCTGATCTTACAGTATTAACACTAAAGTGTATTGATTGTTCCATCCAGAAGTTGCATCCGTAAGGTGTTCTGTCTGGGTTAGCCTTAAAAACCCCATTGCGCTCATCCCGCCAGTGCTCTCAGGGCTTTCCACCTGTGGCTCCAGGAGCAGGGACCTCTCCCACTTCCCACTACTGCGGCAGGAGGATCCATAGGCGGCAGTGCTATTCCTTGCCCATGCTTTCAGCTCAGGAGATGGATATTTCCTGCAGTTATCTTAGCAAATGTTTGCAAAGACTTCTTTTCCAGTTTAACTTAATTTACATATGAACAAAACTTACTTATAGAGCTCTTCACGAAGAAGCTACTCATCTCCTAGAATACAATTCCATATGGCAGAGCATATCTACTGTGATAATGTGGGTTTATTTATATTTTGTGTATCCAATTCAATATTTTGACTTTAGCCTTAAGCACTGTCATGTTTGAGAAATTGGAAGAAAAACCCCTCTGAAAACTTCAACAAGAAGTTGATGCTAATTTGGTAACAAGAAGATTACAGTTTAAGAATATCCTCCTGAAATTATTTGTAAGCACAGGCAGGTAGGCTATACTCCTGTCAGTTCGTGGTGGTGCTGTTTGATTATTTTTTTTTTCTTTAACTAAAAGGTCAGGGGATATATTGTACTCTCCATTCTCCTTCTGTTAGTCCTTTGAGGAGAGAGATTTGATTACGTGTTTTATTAAAATAGTACAAATAAGTTGAAACGAAAACTTACATTAGGTCGGAGTTAATGATTTAAAAAGGCACCTTGTACTTGCGTTAAAGGGAAAAAAATCTGAGAGCGTATGTGTTACCTGGTCCTTGAGTAAGCACGACAGAAGTTTCATCTCTTGGTCATGCAGATCTGTTATTTTACTGATTCTAGGAAAAAAGTGTGTGTTACTTTGTGAGAGTGTGTGTCTGCAATAGCAGACTAAGCAGGCCTGGGCATCTTACTCTGCAACTGCACTGTGAGATCAGAAATTTTGGTCTGATTTGAACAATCATACAGAATTTCAGGAAATCACCAGAGATTTGAACTTTATATTTAAACTGTTCAGCAAGTTACCCAGTTTTTCTTAACCAAAGCCAAATTGCCTCAACCACCTTCTTAATCAAAAGCCCTTGCTGAAGAAGGGATAGAGGAAGGCCCCACACTGTGCCTTGCTGGGGGGCAGTCCCAAGGCTGCCTGGCTTTGCTTGAGAGGTCCTGGCCTCTCTGCTGTTGTGCTGCTGCTTCTGTGAGGAGAAGGGGTCAGGTGGGGCACAATCGTGTTTTAAGTCTCTGGGTAGTAGGTGGGGGGGGAGGGGGGAACAGAGGGGACGGGGAAGCTACTGTGTCCTAAAGAGCTTCATTCAGAAAGTACTAAACCCTACTTCATACTTCGGGAGAATGAAGAATTCACATTTTCTGTGAGTGATTTGTGTCTTTACTCTTAAGTATATAAAAAATAATAGTGGTAAGACCGTAACAGAGTACTGTTTTGTTAGTCTCCTAGTAGCTTAGAAAGCAGATGGAAATAGAGATCTATTTATTTTTACTTAGCTTCCCCAACAGCCTCCATTTTCTGAAATGTCATTATCCTTATCTCTGTTGCATGTCTCTGCTTCTTGTAATTTCCCCAAGCAACAGAAGCAGCAGAACAAAATTGGTGTGTGGGTTTTCTTTGACAATTTCATCATTTCATGAAGTCGCTGTGTTACAGCAGTGACAGTGGCTGATCACTGTCACTCTTTTGCCTTGTTAGAGCTCCAGACAGCAGCTGAGGCATTCAAGGTGATGGTAGGCTTAGGGAAATGGCGATGCACCAGTTCGCATTATTCATGTAAGAAGATGGGGTTCTTTACAACTACTGAATTCATCCTTTTCTTAAAATGAAATACATGAATTTAAGTTCTGTATAAAGAACAGTAGCTTTGACACATCTCCAGCCCTCTCTTTTGGTTTTCTAGAGAAAGGTTTTTAGCTGTCACTGGTAACTGATTGGATTCTGCAAGAGCTGACATCTTTGCTCCAGTTCCCTGTAGCTCTTGTTGGCTCTTTGGAGATCTGTCAGCTTGAGATCTGGCTACTTCATAGCCATAAAATAGTTTCGTGTATTTAATCTGGTTCTGACTGTTCCTTGTGGTTGGTGATTTAACACCTGCATGGGGAAGATACAAAAATTGACTGCGTGCATGGTAGAAGAAAGCAGCTTACTGCACCCAGCTTTACAGATAAACTCTGCTGACACGCAGTTCTGTCAAAAGCATAGTGTCAACTGAAAAAAGTGCATCTATTTTTTTCTTTGTTAATGATATGGTACTTGAAAGTTTGTTCTGTGGTTTTTATATTAAAGAATGTTCAGTGTATTTGCCAGACTTGCATCTTCAGGAACAGCTTTACATCAAAAAGTTTTCTTTGTGATGGAAAACAACCAAAACGTGTGTTTTAATGTTGTGCTTCTAGAAGGCATTTTTGTCACCAGCTAGTTGAATCAAGAATATTTGCCACTTATTGAGGTACAGAGTTTCATTTAAAAAAAAAAAAAGTTAAATATTGGATTGACTAATTATCAAAGTTAATATTCCCAGGAAGTTTATGTACTTGTAATATATGTTGTTTGAGCAGAAGTTAGAAGTCAGAAGTTAGCAGAAGTATCGGGCTCTCTTGGTATAGGTTGTCTTAGCTTTTTACTTCTGAATTCTGGAAGTACAGTTACCAGAAGAAACAATCATCTGTTAGCCTCTCTTTTGAGATCAGCAGCCATTCTTGCTAATGATGAAATGGTGTGTGCATCAGTCCACAGAGCACAAGACAGTAACCGTGTTTGGATGTGCAAGAAATGACCTTTCTGGACTAGGAGGCTGAAACTTTTCTACTGTAACCTTCAACATTACAGTCATGTTGAGTGTACTCTTTTTTTTGAGATTTAAATGCAGGCTTTGGTGTTTAAGATGATTTTAAATCCGTTGGCCTTTTGGACTTTATTTGTTAGTTCTTGAAGTATTTTAGATTCTTTTATGGCTTCAGTGTTTCCTTGTCTTTTCATAGGACCCCAGCTGAATGCACAACTAGAAGGCTGGCTTTCTCAAGTACAGTCCACAAAAAGACCCGCTAGAGCCATTATTGCACCGTAAGTTTGAAATATCTTTTTAGTGTTTATAATACTTGATTGGTTAAATGCTTCTTTATTTTGAGTGATTTTGAAAACTGGTGGAAGTTAGTATTTAGCTGAAAGGAATGTCGAGTGGTTTCTAATTATTTTGGATATGGCATAGAATGGAAGAAATTTGTGCATGTTTTGGAATATGATTAGTTTCCTTTTGTTGGTGGACTACAGACAAAAAAACCATTCACTTGTGATCCAGTCAGGCAAGTAAGAGGTGTATTAGTGGAGCAGTAGTCTAAGGTGACAGCTCTTTCAATGTACTTCTACTGCAGAACAGCTACACCTATTTAAAAACAAAACACAACACACGAACCAAGCAAACCTCCAGCATCCCCTCCCAAATCAAAACTTAGCAATGCTTAAAACAACAAGTAATGAAACACTATTCAGGTATCCAAAATGGTTTGCTTTTGTTCTTTTAGTTTGGTTTGGTTTGTTTGGGTTTTGGGGGTTTTTTTGTCTGCAGCAGAAGTAGGGATCATCTAAATTATTTAGGTAGAATTCAATTTCCTGAAGACAGCTGAGACATGAAATAAGAAAAGTATGTTGGTCGTTCCAGTTTATTACAAGTTGGAAGGAAACACTAGAAAAAGCAGCTTAAGTATGATGTTTCTTCCTGTGCTAAAATAGCATTGACATAACGTTTGAAGTATTCCATCATAGTATTGAATGTGCAGAAGAAATTGTCCCAAACCTGTTAGCCTTTCTCATAGGACTGTCAGGGAAGAGGCCTTTCGGCTGCAGATTAGGTAACCTGGGTTATTTTTCCAGATTTGAAGGTCTTCCCATGGTCTCACCAAATTGTTTCATTAACTGTGCCTGTGTTTTCCCACCTGTAAAGTAAGGTATGGCTAATAATATTTTTGTGAAAGACTGAAGAAGCCTGTATCAGAGGGAAACTTTCAGAAGGCTCTTTTGACATTGTCAAATAATGCACCTTGATGCACCCTAGGTCTCAGGCTCCAGTATATCCCCATATGCTTTGTATCGTCGTATAAAAAAGACCATCTGGAAAGCAGTGGTTGTGGTGTTGCACATGCTTGACTCAAAATCAAGGACGCCTATTGACCTAGGTTCACAGGTGCTCCAGATGAGCTCCAGAGGCAATGTGGCCCAAGCACTGTGCCGTGTGGACATGGTCTTCTCCTATGGTTGTGCTGCTGAGTGACCAGGAGCTGTTCTCCCCACCTTGGTCTGAGAGCCTGGGAATGAATGTTCTGTGGAATTAATGCTTGTAGTGGTGTGAACAGAATCTTCACCTGTTTTCAACAGTTGGGAAGGGACTGTGTCTTAAGATTTGGATGTGATATTTGAAACAGAGCATTTTTATTCTCTGTTTATCTGCTGTAATGTGTAGTCTCTCTTTACCAGACCCCTCTACTGTCATTGTATTCAGTGCTTGGACTGTGGTTAGAAGAGCTTTCTCCAGCAGCTTACTCTTCCCTTGTCTCCTGGCTGCACTCACCATTATCATGAGCTTCTGATAATACGCAGTTCTCTAGTCTGCCTGCTAGCATCTTCTACACATAATGAAAGATCCTTTGGTCTGGAGGCTTACTTACTACCTGTCAAGTAAATGGTTACTGATAATTCTTTAACATATTCATCTCTTGTACATTCAGCACTGCAGTAGTGTTCTCCAGCACTATTCAATCAAAGGTTGATTTTTTTGGAATACTTCATTTCTAGCTCATTGCGGACAACTAATATGTAAGACATTAACATTTAATAGAAATATCAACATATTTAAGATGCTAAACAATATTTAACATGTTAACAGTTTGTACACCTTGATTTGCAGCCATGCCGGATATACCTATTGTGGATCTTGTGCAGCCCATGCTTACAAACAAGTGGATCCTAATGTTACGTAAGTATAAAAAGTTTTTCTTTACAAAGCATAAGACAATGCCATTGCAATTCTCTGAGAAGTGGAGTGTTCTTTTTACATTCTTACACCCTGAAGTACTCAGATTTTAATTTTGTACTCTTTCTAGGCTTCTGTGCCTCCCTTCTCTCAACACGATAAATGTTCAAATTGTTTGGATGTTACAAAAGAAAAAAAATGAAGGTAGTATCATTGAAACTGAAATTGTAAAGCAGTATTTTTATAAATTACCGAGAATTATTGGTAACTAACTTTTTAGAAGGGAGGAGTTAACGGTGTTCTTTTTGCAGGTAATAATACTTAATTTACAATTTACTTTATTGCTGGACATTTGACTGCTTGGTTTTTTGTTGTTGTTTGGTTTTTTTTACTGGACACAGGGTGTCTTTGTTTTGGTTTGGTTTTTTTTTTGGTTGAATGGTTTTGTTTGTTTAAGTATATTGAAATATTTTGTCATGATTCTGCATTGGTTTTTCAGTGCAGGATTTTGGTCTGAATGCTACCAGGATTCTCTTCTGCTGTGGAGAAAGTGACCAGTGTGTGTATATAATATTTGAAGTCAGTGAAAGTTACTTGTTGCAGTGATTTTAAACGGACTTGTGTTTCTAACAGCACAACAGTTTAAAAAAAGAAAAATTTTAAAAAGCCCAACACGCTACTTTAGTCTGTGCCTGCCTCTGAAAGTATGAATCCAGTTATTCTAGGTTAAAGGAATATGGTTCTTATGTGTTCTGCTGACTGCAAATGTTTTAAATTTTTGTCATTTAGAAATATCTCCAGTATTTACTCAAAGTATGTATTTTGCAGTGTTAGTATAAAAACTGGCTATGTCTATCAGTTGCTTATGAGATAATGTTGTAGTGCTCTCCTAAGACAATGGTTTTGATTCTTTCTGAGCTGTTATGAACAGGGAAGATAACCAGTTTCTCTAAAATTTCTAGAACAAGTTGCATTCCCTGGGTTCAGTGACATGGGCTAGATTGAACTTTCTGCTATTTTACAACATGAAATGTTTAAAATTTGTCTTTCCACTGAAGTATTGCAGATTTGGATTTTTTTTTTTGCAGCGGTCATAAAAACAGCTTTAGTATTTTAGTATAGCTCGCTGTAGCACTCCACATGAAAGGAAACCAAAACCAAAACCAAACCAAACCACCTTTACACATCTCCCACCCTTTAGTTCAATGCCAGAAACAAGATCTTATTGACAGTTGAGCAAGGGAGGAAAGAGGCCAGCATGTCTGAGTCAAGACCTGCTGGCCAAACTGAAAGGCAAGAAGGAACTGCACAGGCAGTGCAAACAGGGACAGGGATCTTGGGAAGAGTACAGGGACACTGCCCGGCTGCATAGGGATTAGGTCAGGAAGGCCAAGGAGTGGCTGGAGATGAACTTGGCAAGGAATGCAAAGGAAAACAAGGGCTGCTACAGGTATGTCAATCAGAAAAGGAAGGTTAAAGAAAGCGTCCCGCTGACGTGATAGAGAGCAGCCCTGTGGAAAAGGATTTGAGGGTGCTGGTGGATGAAAAGCTGGATATGGGTCAACAATGCGTCCTTGCAGCCTAGACGGTCAACCACATCCTGCATCAAAAGAAGTGTGGCCAGCAGGGTGAGGGAGGCGATTATGCCTCTCTTCTCTGTTCTGCTGAGACCCCCACCTGGAGTACTGTGTCTAGTTCTGGAGCCCTCAGTACAAGGACATGGAGCTGCTGGAGCGGGTCCAGAGGGCTGGAGCACCTCTCCTATGAGGACAGGCTGAAAGAGTTGGCCTGGAGAAGAGAAGGCTCTGCTAGGACCTTATTGCGGCCTTCCGGTTCATGAAGGAGGCTTACAAGAAAGTTGAGGAGGGACTGTTTACAAGGGTGCATAGCAATAGGACAAGGGGCAATGGCTTTAAACTTGAGCAGGGTAGATTTAGACTAGATATTAGGAAGAAGCTCTTCACTATGAGGATGGTGAAGTACTGGAACAGATTGCCCAGCAAGATGTTGGAGGCCTCATCCCTGGAGATGTTTAAGGCCAGGCTTGGTGGGGCTCTGAGCAACCTGATCTAGTTAGGTGTCCCTGCTCACTGCAGAGGGGTTGGACTAGGTGACCTCTAAAGGTCCATTCTAACCCAACACATTCTATGATTTATATGATCCTGAATCAGAAAAACTGAATTTCATATAGGTTGTTTTTATTGCTGTTGTTGTTTTGTTTTTTTTTCTTTAAGTCCCGTGGCAGGAGGCCTTTAACATCTAATCAAGAGCCAGGAACTGAGGACTTGATGAAATAACATCATGATGACATCTGAGAGCTTGCAGTATCAGCTAAAGCTACAAATGTACAGTCCAGGTCCCTGTTGTTGATGCAACAGCTGGATAAAAATGGCATTTGAGAATGACTTGAAATTTGAATTTGGTGAAATCTGAAGTAAGGCTAATCAAGTAAATAAGTGAAAAGCTCTGAATATAGGTGATAAATCTGTAATCCTCATTTGAGGGCATGTACCTATAGTTGTTAAAGGTAGTGTGTAATTGAAGGTTGTGTTGGTCCAAGGAGAGAATAAAAAAATCTCTTCTAAGGGTCTGTAATGCATCATTCAGCCTTCAAATTAGTCCAGTCAGGCAGATTTCTAGCTGTTTAATGCCCTCTGATATATAACCTGCTTAAGAGGTTTAAGGCTACAGGAAGCATTATTGAATTGATTTCATGAGATACCAAGTCAGGGTAGACCATGGTTTGATCTGTGGTCTTACACACAGCTGAGTAAGACTGTATTGGTAACAACCAGAAAGTATTACTTTGTGCATTTTTATTTAACTTGTTACTCTAAACCAAATCTCTGTACAATTGCAGTTGTCTAAATTGTGGGCTTTTGTGTTAATTGTTGTAGCCGAAAAATTTTCATTCTTGGACCTTCCCATCACGTGCCCCTTTCCCGATGTGCACTTTCCAGTGTGGACATTTATAGAACACCTCTGTATGATCTCCGAATTGACCAAAAGAGTAAGTGCGTGATAAAGCTTACGTCTTGAAGATGCTGAGGCCTGAGTATTAACTGTGGGACTGCAGTGCTGAGGAGTCTCTTGCTGGGCACTTCATTGCTTTTTAGTAGCATACAAGTATAAATCTGTTTTTTGCTGTAATGAAAGCTAACTTCTGAAAGATCTTGGTGGTTGCAAGCATTGCTATATTAAAACCTTAATGACTCTCTTGCTCCTGCAAGTAAAGAATTGTCAATCTTTGCTTATCTTTTTCATTATGAGCATGTGCTTCTTGACAAGTGATCTTTAAAAGGGATCTCAAAATTAAAAAGCACTACATTTGAATAATAGCCCACTACACACCTGCTCCATTGTTCTGTGAATAGTCTATCTGCAAAACAAGTAGTACTTCAGTTGGTTTGAGTTTATTTCTGATAGAGGAATAATAGAGAATCAAAAAGCTGCTTTTATTTGGATGCATTATTGCCTGTGACTCTTTTTTGACTGGCAGAGTACCTACAGAACTTAAACAGAGTCTATGAAATACCAGTCTTTCAGACTAAGCTTAAAGTTGCGATGAAGATAAATTTGATATTTTGACTTTCATATGTTTTGAGATACATCTAAATAATACAGTATCTGTTTCAGAAGGACTGATTAGTGCAGACATATTGCTATTTCGTCATGACTCTGATCAAGCAAGCTAGTTCAGGCTTTCTACGTGGTGCCTACTGAAATTTCCTTAGGTGACAAATGTTTTGGTTTCTGTAGAACTCCTTTATGGAGTGGAGAAAGGCACAGCCCTACATCAAATTCTCTATCCAGTGGAGAGTTTTCATAATGTAGAGATGACTCTGCATACTACCAAACACACTTGAGAACAGAAAAGATAACTTGTAAATGTGGATTACGCAATTGGTTTTCACTGTCTCTAGATTTCCTGAGTCAGTTAATAATAAATTGTGTTAAACAGTTATACATCCAGCAATGGCTCAGCTGATAAGCTTTTTATTAAAAAATAAAGTATGACGTAATTTGTGAAAATAAGAATTCAGTGACTGAGCAAATGCATGCATATTTTAAAATGTGTTTTATTTGTGTTACTTAAATTTTGTATCATAACTGAAAATCTTTCTCAATATACTAACAAGATCACTGATTTAACACACTTATTTTGTAAACTGAATCAGTTATGCTTGTATCTTAATGACTTGAACATGATTTTAATCCTGAATTTATTTAAAAACAGGTGGTTTATGGTGACAGGCCTTGGAGGCAAGTAATTTGTTATAGTGGGCTTGTTCTGATAAAGATGCACTGTAGCTGGCTTTACAGTTAAAAAAGAAAAAAAGCAGTAAAAATTAATATTTAATTCATTTCAGTTTATGGAGAACTGTGGAAGACTGGAATGTTCGAGCGTATGTCCCTACAGACAGATGAAGATGAACACAGTATTGAAATGCATTTGCCTTATACTGCTAAAGCCATGGAAAGGTACTAGGGCTAAGTACTTCTTCTGCAAGAATTAACGTTATGTGCATTACATGTTAGAACCGCACGTGAAGTGCGGTAGGAAGTAATAATACACTTTATGGCATATAATAGCCCATATGTTGTATAATAATCCCCCAATAAAAATTTTGGGGAGGAGAGAGTCAGAGACTAGGATTAGCCACTGTAATAGAAACTGTGAGCAAAGCAAACACCTGAATGACAAAATCAGAATACCCCTTATAAACAAGTTTATATGTTTCTATTGACTTAATATTAGATATGCTTTCATGAATCTTTTTCAATAGCTGATTTTTTTTTTTTCATTTTTGCAAGGCATCTCTGAAAGAAGTCTGAATGCTAATAGGGGTTTTCTGTAGGATTTTAAGTTTGTTTGGAGTCTTAATACTAATTTTGAAATCAGGGTTCTGTTTACACGTGCTATTTCAGATGAGTACTTTCTCTGGAGTATCAGTATACATCTGGGTGCTGACTCGAGCATTTTCATATGCATTGAATAATTATCCAACATTTGTGCAGCATCCACACAGGGAGAATTTAATTTTCACTTTATTGCTGGTTTCATTGTGTCTTTTTTTTGTTTGCTTATCTGTTATTTCGCTTTGCAGCAAAGATAAGTACTGTTTTAGGGGAGGGGATATGTTTTCTGAAATTGAAGTAGTTTCAGGTTTTAAAAGAACTTCCTAGTATGATGTTACCAAATTCACTGTATTTTCAATTCAATAGTGTCCTTTTAAAACATGCTCCATTTCAATTAGCAAGCCCTGAAAAAAACTTCAGCTGTTACTTGAATTACACCCTCTTTTCTTTTGCTTATAAGCCATAAGGATGAGTTTACTATTATTCCTGTGCTGGTTGGAGCACTGAGTGAGTCAAAAGAGCAGGAATTTGGAAAACTCTTCAGTAAATACCTAGCTGATCCTAGTAACCTCTTTGTGGTTTCTTCTGACTTTTGCCATTGGGGTAAGTTTCACACCTCTTCATTATAACAGTATGATGAATATTGTGTAGTGATTTTCAAATACTGTATTTTACTAAACATTGAACAATTAAACTTCTTGTAAATGTATCTTTGAAACTTTTTAAATGTGAAGCTAAAAAAGGATTTTTTTCCTTGTTTTTAAATCTGGAACAATAGATAAAAAATATTAATGTGGTAATGTGTTTTCAGTGTAGCGGAGGAAATATATGGTGAAGGCGTATGGGTTTACATGCATCTCTACCCTTGCAATGAAATAAGCGTCTTAAGTTTCTTGCTCTTTTTATTTTTCTTTTAAGTACCTCAAAGCAACTTGCAAAAGTAATTAGCTAAAAATTCACTGGACATGGCCACATCCCTCTGATGGAAATAAGTTTTGTACGTTTTACTGCTGGGTAGGATAGCAGATGGAGGATTTATGCCAATTCACCAGAGCTATCCCAGTTCATCTTGGTGGCAGAGCTATAACGACTCCAGAAGCCTTGACTTCTGTCCTGCTTTAACACTTGATTTGAAGTATAATAATAGCCAGAAAAGGGACTGCTTCAGAAAGATATGTTTTACATTGTGCAACAGACCTTCTTCCCTTTTTTTCATTGTCATCTTTGGTCAATTTATGTAATTAAGTGCATGTTTTACTCGGCTTTGAATTGCAGATTAGGTGGAGGTGTAGAAGAATGACCTGGGTTCTGTTGTGGCTAATGAACCATCCAGAACCGTTCAAAGAATTATCATGAACTTTTTCTTTTAACCTTCATTTACTCTGGGTATTGTTGTGCAAGCAGAAGCAGCCAGGTTCCAGGGTTGACTTTGTCTAGAGGGATGGTGAAATGAAATGTTGCTTTACTTTTTAATTTATAGAATTGGATTCCAAGGCAATAATAGGCAACTGATAAGTGATACTGCAGCGTCAGTTCTACAGAGCAGGTTTTTCTTTAGGAATGTAGCTGCCCATCCTGTATTAAATTTTACTTCACTTCTGGGCTGCTACGTTGATGATTGCCCTAGAATTTCCTCAGTGGAGCTAAAAAGTATAAAATAAATGGAGATTACTACTTTACAAATATTAGAATTTCAATTATTTAGTAAGTGTTTAGGGAGTGTTTTAGCTACGGTTTTTCCCTTTTTTATTTTATACATGATTTTTGTTTCAAGGTCAGAGGTTCCGTTACAGTTACTATGATGAATCCCAAGGAGAAATTTATAGATCCATTGAGCACCTAGATAAAATGGTAAGTTTTCAGATTTGGTGGAACTAACAAACAAATTTCTCCTGTACATTACATTTCTTCGAACACTTTAGACATTTCTCTAACAAAATATTATAGATTAGCTATTTTACTGAATGTATGCTTTTCCTTTGTTTACCAGGATAAGAACTTAGCTGTTGTTTTTAGCTAGTGTCCTCCATTTTACTGACTGTGCACAATATATTGCAGGTATAATCTAGTAAGCATAATTTATAAGAACAAATGCATGCTTGCCTACCTAAAATATGCCCTACTGTAATAGAATTCCTGTCCACATACCCTCTTACGTTTTCAAGAAGCAATAAGAACTATGAGTCGAGTACTGTGGTAGTTCAGGCTTGATAGCTATGGCACCTGCGTATCAAAAGACCGTTGTGATCATGCTTATGGTTTCAGCAACATCCATTTTGAGGCGGGAGGAAAGGCTGTAGGGGGTTGTGCTGGCCACTGTTTCCTTGGGAGTAGCCTTCTCCCACCTCCTTCCTCTGGAGTAGGTGGTGGGGGAAAAGCAGTTGGCCGTACTTCGTTCTGGGTTTGGCAGATGGCTGAAAGGAGGACTAAATACATAAAGATCATGATGCCAATTATGTTGCATTTTCTTTGCAATCAGAGGAGCCAAGGATTTCATTTGAAATGAAAAATATGGTGTTGACATTCAAGGCTATACTTAAGGCACAGAATGGAAATAATTATTCTAGAAATACGTAACCTTAAAGTTTCTTTTAAAACTGTTAGGATCATTTACATAACTTCTGTACAGTCTCTTAGAAGAGGGAACTGTTGTTGCTCAGGACATTTTAATTTTTTTCTTGTAATGAAGGAATAAATCCTATCTGCTGGAGAGATCTGTGGAGTTTTTTTGCTTTGTGTATCCATATTAACCTCTTTGTTTTTCCACTATTCATTGCTGGAATGAAGACAGTAGATAATGTGCCTTCATTCTCTTTATCCCATTTTTAATAATTCTTGTTGTCAGTTGAGAGGTTTCTCTATAAAGACAAGTGTTTTTCTGCAGAGTCCCAGATTTGCAGCACTGAATGTTTTTGCAGGAGAGCAGATTAAGGTGCATTAGCAAACATTAGTTTCCCCCTGTTAATTTCTGTGGTGGAAGCTTGTAGAAAGACTGAACTTTGACATTTAATTACTTCTAGTGAATACATTGCTGCACCAACTCTTTCTTTTGGTAGTTATTCAGCCGAAAGGAAATCACATCTTTTGTAATATTGAAAATGATGTCTGCTGCTTAATAACTGTGAAAATACTTACTCCATCTCAACTGGAAAACTGAACATGCTGCATAGCAGTATACTGTGGTTATTTTTTGCCTGTTTATATCATGTCATACGTGAACACATGACTCCGTATGCAAACGCTGTACAGAGGAGGTTTTGCTTTTGGTGAATTTCAGAAATTTCCTTGTAGCAGCATTGTGAGTTCACTCGGGATGCTAGCCACAGGGCCACAAAGATCACCCTGTCGCTTCCTTCATCTTTTGGAAGGAGTTTGTTCAGTTTTGTATGCCACACTCGGCTACTTCTTGTTTTCTTAGATAAGTATTGAGGTTTTTTTTATGTAATTTGGCATGCTAAAGAAACTTGTATTATTGTGACCACTAGGCCTCTCCACAGAAAAAATAGCATTAACGTAGAGACAAAACTATACTGAAACCATCTGCTCTTACTGGCCCGATAATTTTATTGGACCTAATTAGGAAAGCAGTCGGCTGAGTGCATTGTTAGCAGGAAGATATTCCGGGTTAAGATGAAGTTACTTTTCCTTAGAAATGGCGTTGTGGGAGGACAATGGTCTCTTCCTTATTTAGACTGGACCTTAAGTACAGGTGCATGATGATTTTCCTGGCTAGTGCATAAACAACGCTAAAGGCTTTGGGCATTGAAGATTTACTAACCTGGTTACCTCTGTGAGGAATTTTATTTGCTGTGATATTAAGTTAGAGCTGTTAGACTCCAGCATAAAAAAATAGATCAGTAAATATTGCTGGGAAGGCATCAGTTTCTCCATGGTAACTCTTAATGGGACCACTCTGTTACCCTGGGGGTACCACAGTGCACCTTGTGAAGTGAAGGTGAAAAGAGTGAACAGTCCCATGGTTAACAGAGTACCTTAGGGAAGAATTCTCACATGAAGAGTTATAATTGAGCAGCTGATGTGCAATACAGTATTTCTATATCATAACCTGATACCTACCATCTTTTTTAAAGAAGAGCGGGGGAGTATTCTGTAAGACGTCATTGAAGAGTAATTATTTTTTTTTATTATAGCTAGCCAGAAAATGCAGACTGCTCACTTCAGTCTTCACTGCCAGATTGCTCATTTTTATATCTGTTTATGAAACCTTATGCCTCACTTGAGTCAATAGGAGGATTCTGTTACCCTGAATGCTGAAGGGGGAGGATAATGCAGGTGCTGAGGAGAGCTGCGCAGGAACAGCCAGGAGCTGTTGCGCAGGAGCTGTGCACAGCATGGTGGCTTTTCAGGTGGCTCTTGGGAACTGCTGAATTCTGGTGCCTTCTGCAGTGCCGCTACCATGTCCCAGCACCTTCCACAGCGCTCCAGCCTGGGAAGGCTTCTTAGCTTTGGCATAACGCAAGACCACAACTCTCTGCCTGGGGGCCCAGCTCCCTGCTCTCTCTGCTGTGCCCAGCCGGTAATTTACCCATTGGTTGGTGATCTCAGTCTGAGTGACTCTCACACACAAGGATAGTTGGACTGGCCAGTGCTAAGACCAGGTTTGTTTCTATTTCCGTAAGTGTGCTACTAGTTCTTATTTTTTTAAGTGTGAAGAAGCAGCTGAAGCAACTGACCAGCCAAAGGATTATTGGAGTATAGTATAAAATAAGCCTGTGGGTTGTTTGCTTTGAGATTTTATTTTTTTTTTTTGTAAACTAATAGATACTTGATCCTATAGGGGATGATATTTGAGAATGTAACCGCCTTCAATCTTATTAAGTGCACTGTGCTAGGATATTTTAGATGCCATTTGCAGTGTCTGGTTAACTGAGATATGCAATTTCTATGTAGTGCCGTAATAACCATGTGATGAACTGCAGAACTGCACGATGGTTTGCATTTTTATCGTGTGAGTTTTGTTGTGTATTTTAACCCTGTTCTAAACCATGCCCAGCTGAGTTATTTGGAATATTGAAAATTATTAGCTTCATACTCCTGCTTTTTAGAAAAATAAAACAACTTGACTGAAATGTCTCCTTTTTTCTTCAACACCGTTCTAGACAGAGAAATAAGTCTGGTAGTCTTTGCTCCTCTGCCACAGTGATTTTTAAAGCCAAAAGATTGAAAAGTTCAGTACAGCTGAACGCTTATAGGATGTGTGTTAATACCTGTTTCCTATGGATTTTCTCCAATCTGTGATGTATGGAGCTCTGTTACCATTTGCTGGGATGAACTGCATAGCTCTAAATGTTTTGCAGTGCTGAACTGTGCATTGAAATAAGCTTACTAGGCATTCTGATAAATCCGTGTCCATTCATTTGAGACAAATGCTTAAATGCCTCTGCCCAGTATGTTCCAGTGACTTGCAGCTATAAAATGAGTCTCTTAATTGAGCAGCCATTTAAAATTTTTCAAAAAGTCATGAAAGGGTTTACAAACGGCCAAAATGTATTCTATGAGCTGTTCAGTATCTGAACAAGTGCCTTGTGCATGTTTAGTGTCACTTGAGTATGTAGTGAAGTTTGGTTCTGCTTTCTCTCGCTGTGTATTGACATGTACGGTTTAGCAGTAAATGGATGGTTCAAAGACATGACGCTTGAACTTTAGAAATGCAATGCTATCACTGCTAGTTAGAGAATAGCTACCTTTATTTTTTTGACACTCATTTGGGTTCTGTAGATCTGGAGTGAGTAAGAGCTGTAATTACTGGCCAGGGGTCCAAACACCCTCTCCATGACCCTGGAAGAACTGAGCTCTTGCCAGCAATTGGTCAGCATAGTTTGGTTTGATTTTTTCCATAAATTTTTTCTCTTTATGAATTCATCTTTTATCTGTTTTGAATTAAAAATACACAAAGGTGGTGGTTATGGTTGCTGTTGCTAATCCTCCCTGCCTCTCCTGGGGATCTCCAGCTCCTCCACTGCAAGCTGTGATCAAGCCTGAATAATTGGTGTATCTGCCAGATCAGCCAACACCCTTGCAGAGTATTCAAGAGGTTTCACTCTTGAGGTGGAGACTTCAGACAGACTGACTGCTTCCTGCATCGTGATTTCTCCTTCTATCACCCACGCTTTCCCAGAAGCAGGGGAAGGGGTTGGGATAATTGCAGAAACTTCAGGAGAAACTCTCTCTCTTTCTGATACCAACCTCCCATTGGTCCCATGCAAAGTGTCATTTTTTCCAGTCTGAGGAAAACCTTCCTGTTTCATCAGCTACATGTAAGAAGCACAGCTATGTGTCTTACTGAATTCATGAGCGTCTGGAGCTCATTTACCTGGTGAAGGGAGTTAATAATTTTCAGAAGAAAGAAAAACACAGGAGGATGGAGTCTAATGCAGGAAAAATAGCAAAGCCATTATAAAAGCCAGACAATAATTGATACAGACTTGTTTTAAACTACTTCCATTGTATTTGATGTGCTCTATGGGATGGGGCAAGAGTAGCCTGTGTCTGAAGCTGTAGGATTCTTTTTGCTTTTAAGAACACAAATGTTTGTATATGTGGAAGGTTTTTTTTCCATGCATGTTCTGGTTTTAAAGTATGACTCAACAGTCATACTGTAACAGTCTCACTGTGGATGGAGAAAAGGATATGTATCTGACTGCTTCTTGTAAAGTGGAAGCATCATATCTTGGCTCTTATGTTTCTGTCGTGCACCAACTTCTAGTGGTTTAGAGATGTTCTGGATCTGCTTTTTACGCTCTCAGCAGATGGTCAGCCTATGCCCAGATCAGCTGCCTTGCATATCTGGTGTGTCTAGGATACATTACACTTGCTATGTGCTTGAATTGCGTGTGCATATATTGATGACTTGTCAAGGAGTTTAGGACATCAAGAACTCAGCCTTGACCAAGCTCAGACCTGAACTCTTGTTACCAAGGAGAGGAGATGGAGCCAAATCTTCTTCCTGCTTTGGCATTTTGCTAAATTTGTCTGGTTATTGCTGTATGAAATCCTGTGGAAGTAGGGCACCCTTGGAAGTGGGAATCAGCTAATCTGCAGGAGGAAGGGTTTTAACATGAGCTTCACTGGTAACTGCAAAGATAGCTTCACAGATCTGTGGATCATTGACAGCTTTGGAAGAGCTCTTACACTTGTAGTTTGGAGAGAGCTGGCAACAGGATGATGGCAAGCTAGAGCTCACATGCTGAGATTCCCTTGATACCATTGCCACAAAGTAGAGGTTTTATCCTCCTGAGGTATTCTGTGTTGTCATAAATAGGTGATGTAACACCTGCTTATAAATGTGTGAAGTAATCATTGCTATTGATTCTTTTTCAGGGTATGAGCATTATAGAGCAGCTAGATCCTGTATCTTTTAGCAATTACTTGAAGAAATACCATAATACAATATGTGGAAGACATCCTATTGGTGTATTATTAAACGTAAGTAACTTCTGATTTGTTGAGAAATGTAACTTTTTGCAAAATGCTTACATTTGTTTTAAATACAATATTGCTGTAGTATTCCTTAGTTCTAAAATGGCAAGCCTTGAATTAATTTATTTTTCCAAGTGTTCTCAGCTTGGTCTGCAATTTCCATGTCTTTCGTATAGACAAATGCAAGCTTTTACAAGGACTGAGAGTTTTCAGTTCCCTAAGGGAGATGAGGTACCATTTTCCTTCTGACTTTCAATGAAATACAATCATTCACTTTCTTTTGGCCCTGAATAAACAAATAAATCCACGTACCTGCCGAAGTACACACGTACTCTTTTGAATTAGTACTTACAAACACGTATATAGTCTTCTGAATTGCTGTTAGCTAGCTATTGTGAGTGCCTTATGATGTCTAGCAGCATTTTTGAGTTTTGCAAATATGGTAAGAGATTGCCTCTGTAAGCATTAGTGCAGTGCACCATTAACTCATAAATTAATGGCAATTAGAACTCAGATTGACCAGTACTTTCTAGTTACCCTATTCTACTTTGATGATGCAGGGCAGACATAAACCTGGCTTAACTTAGTTGTCTAAACTGGGTCACAGCTGCTTTACAGCACTGCTGGAGTGCTGCAGATTTGTCCTATTGCTTGAATGAATCTCACTGTATTTTTACTATAATTCAAATCTGAAGCAGGAAGCACGTTACCCTTTTTCAAAAGGAAAGCTTAATTCACTGGAAATGTACACAGGGAACGTATAGAGGAACCTTTTAAAGTGGAGTCTGTAAAAGTTTGTGTGAGCAACATCAATATTAGGGATGTGTGTAGCAAAATTGAGTACTACGTCAACTCTGCAAAAATATCCAGCTCAACCTCAGCTAATGATTAGTTTTGCAGTGAATCTGTTCATTCATTTTGCCAATTGTTACGCTTATTTATGAACTATCTTAGTACATGCTTTTTCCTTAAAGAAATATGATCTGAAGAGTGTTAATAACGTTAGGCTTTTTCCTGTAACATCTGTGTTTCTGTATGAATTCCCTGTGAAACAGAAGGCATTGTTTCTAAAGGAGCTACTTGGCAAGGTTGTTTAGGATTGCTTTGTAGAACCGCATGGATGTACATAGTGCAGCGAGGGGAGCGTCAGTGGATGAAATGGCACAGAAATGGGTTAGGCGAGGTCCACAAATTACTCTGAGGTGCTTATATTATGAGAGATGGTACAAGGAGCCCCAGGTGAGAGGAGAGGACTGACATCTAGAAAATGTCATAATTTCACTGACCTTTTTTTTTAAACAGCTGTTTTTTCTTTCTTCAGGCTATCAACGAGCTCCAGAAGAATGGCATGAATATGAGCTTTTCATTTTTGAATTATGCTCAGTCAAGCCAGTGTCGAAACTGGCAAGACAGCTCAGTGAGTTACGCAGCTGGAGCACTCATGGTCCACTGAACCGCTGACCGCTCAGGGATGACACCTGCACACACTTTATATGGGGTCCCAGCCTAGCCCTTACCAAGATACAGTCCCTGGTCTTTGGGTATACTGAAACCTCAAACTAATAGAACTCTCTTCTTTTCTAGTAGGTGTAGTCCTTCCTTAGTTTCAACTCATTTAAAAATGCTTTCTTGTTTAGGACAATGGAAGGAAGGCCGGTATTGAAACATTTTGTGATTATTTTTTTTTTTGTGATCTTTTTTCTTTCTTTGAAGAGTTAATGGCTATGAAGGCACGGTGGCAGACAGTCCTTATGAATACTACATGTAAAGCATTTACCATATCCTAAATTTGCACTCTTTGCAGACCTGTGCACATATACTCAGCTTTCAGAATAGTTTTGCAAGTTGTAAGCGGAAAAAGAGGCGGAAGCTTTTTAATTAAAAAAAAAGGAAAACAACGCATTTATAAATGATCCTGTATTAGAACATAATAAAGCTCCAGTATAGTCAGTTACTACCCGTGATGTACAACAGATATCTTCTATTTTAGTTGCTAATAAAGGGCTACACAAACCAAAATAGTCTGATTTAAACTTATTGCTTTGTGTTCTGTATCTGGCTGCTTGTCATTAACATCCTTTATCCTCAGTTCTTACGCTTGATAATTCAGCCATTCTGTAAAATACTTCAGAATGTATTTTATAGTCAACATTTGTTACGACTACTTCATTTACAGATTTTTTTAATTAAACCTGCACTATGAGTTCAGCTGTGCAAAAGAATTTTAAAAACCTTTTGTATATTCTAATTCTTTTTGGTTTACAATTATCTATAAAATAGTAGCTTTTAGTATGTGATACAAATTTGTATCAGAAATACACTTTTAATGATTTTTATGCTCAGTTTGATTATCAAAGTGAAATGGATGCAGTATTTTTATTTTCAATTACTTAAAATTGATAACAAACAGTAGCTTGAAAATAATAATTCTTAGGGTATCTATCAAGCATTCATAGGCTACAGAAGCCATACAGTGCTCAGCTCAAGCAATTATTCCTCAAAGATTTAATTGGGAGGGGAAGGTAAGGCTTCTCCCTTTTTTTTTTTTTTTTAATTTTTTTTTTCCTCTCATCTTTTATTCTTTGACTGTTGGTAGAATTGTTCATGTTCTTTAAACATTATTGCATCTTAGGAGTTCTTGAACTTTCTTCCAGCCAAAATAATGGTGTAATTATTTGAGTCATTATCATTCCTGAAGACTTCTTTTTGTTCTAATAAGAAATGCAAAGTAGGATGGCAGTACTGGCTCATTATCTAAATGGAGATTTCATTCCCTGATACTTCCCCTGCTGTCAGACAACCTCCTGGTACATTCAGCTTTTCAGGATGGCAGAGGGGAATTTCAGAATTCAATTTAGATTATCTTTTGAAGTTGCATACAAAGTCATTAACTGAAAACATACCAGACACCTTGATTTTTCTGTTCAAGTACCATTTTGCAAGCAGGCACTGCTTGCACCACTTGTATTTTCCTTATCGCAGTTGGCCACCATTTTAATAACCGCAGGTGAATGCTCCATTTACAAAATGAACTACTTTGCAGATGCTCAGAATCCATCCCAAATGCCAAATTCCTTTGCACGTTCGTTCTTTTAGTTGCCTTATCGCTCTGCCTTGTTCTTGAAAAGTCTCAGCAGCAGACAGGGAAAACAACTTACTTTTGACAGACCAGCAGGTAGGCTGCGCAGGTGAAACTGAACTGGTAGCCAGTCTTTATAAATACTTGTCTGACTGTGCCTTATTAAAAAAAGCAGTTTGATAATGATTAATTTTCTTTTATTTTAATCTTTGGTGAATACAAGCTTAATTAGGACTCAGGTTTCTTTCAGTCTTATGCCAAATGCTTAACGTCATTATTGAAACACATAGTTAATTGGAACAGTTAAGTATATACTTTCTTCCTAAGGTAAACGTAGTAATTAGCTTCTGAATACAAATGCCTACATTGCATCTTAGTTCTGTACAATTCAATAAAAACAAAACATAACTGGAAGAGCTTCAAGGAAATTGGTCAGCCATTTTGCTCTGCACAATGTTATGAAATATCTTACAGTGAAAGCACTTCACATGTAAACTGTGTAATGTATTTCAAAATAAAGTTTCTAATTAAAATGGGAATTTCTGTGCCTACTAATAATAACTAGCAGTGACAGTTCAGAAGCCCACTGAGAGAGAAATGTAAAGTTTTGTGAAATCTGCTCTGACTTCAGAAGGATTTGTTGTAAAAACTCTGTTTGTTTGAAAGGAGAAAGTACTTGACTTCAGAGAACTCAGTTTTTCTTGCTCTTTTGGTGGGGTTGGAGGGAATTCACTTCAGTGCTGTTTCCTGGTGTGTCAGTTTAAAATGTGTCAGAATCTCCTGAACAGATCTTCACTCAAGACTATAGTTTCATTATTTTAGTTTTGCCACACATTTTAGTATCGGTTAAATACACATTTGAATATAGTGTTTTGGGACAAAGTGTCTGGTTTAGACAGTATTGAATATTCAGTCCTGTTCATTTTTGTGCAGGTTTCTTTTGTGTAGGATGACAGCTTTGACCACGCTTCTGCTGCAATAAATCCAGTCAGGGATGTGATTCTTATTTTAAAATTTTGGCATTTTAGATAAATGTGTGAAAATGTTGATTTGAATACTTCTTTCTTTTTCTGGTTCTGTGTTCACAAAAGAGCTTTATGGATTTTTTTTTTTTTTAAATACTGTCGTTAAAAAGTACTTTTAAAGTACTGCCTACTGAATTCTTAATTCTTCAGTTTAACATTTGTGACATTGAAGTGGAGCAATAGGTCTTCCACTGCTTTGGATTTAGATAGGCAGAAGGAGAAAGCACAGGCATAAGAAGCGTCCTGCTGCAGGGCGGTGAGTGGTTCTGTGGGCACGGCGGCCACCTTTCACTTCTCGCTGAGCCTAAGAATGTGTGTCCCTCTTGGCATGGTGTGAGTTTGGTGCAGCCTTCATCAGTTCAGAATGACTGTTTGGCTTTATTCATTTCTTTCTTTATGCTAAAAATCAGGACTTGAGTCACTTTGATCCAATGTTACTTGAACTGAACTGAGACCAGTGCAGTCTCTTTTCTTGGAGCCTTTGGAAATGCTGAGTTTGCATTTTTAGACCCAGCTCTTGCTGTTTCCCATTCAGGGGCTCATTGCTGCATCTCAGGGGTTCTGGATATTGCTGCAGGCTTTACTTGGGAATTCAGAATTGACATTTCCAGCACTGAAATGGGGGGGTTTCCATTTGACACTTGCACACAGAGTCTCCTGGTACTTTGGTATGTCATTTCTATGGTTCGTGAAAGGTTTTTCCATTTCATGTTTGTCTTTTTCCCTTATTCCCTCAGGAAGAATGCTCTCCTCTGCATCACAGGGAGCTTTGCTTTCAAATTACATCAGTCACCATGATTTGCAGTTGTTATTTCCTCGGGCTGAGTTCAGTGTGCTAACTAGCACCTGATCCGCTCTCAAAAATTGCCAGAACTATTACATTCACGGTGAAGTTTAAACTCCCTTGTGTAGATGACTTTTTACCTTCCCATTCCTGTGAGAAACTTTCTGAAAGTAACCCTTGAAACTAGCCTATGGAGAGATCTCCAATGTGAAGGAAAACTGAGTTTCAGGAACCAGCACCCCAAAGATGTGAGATGGTTTGGTTCAAAGCCCACAGTGCAGCCAGATGGACTTTTCAGTACATGTTTGCAAAACATGATTTGGCTTTGGTCTGTAGGGATGAATGACTTTATTCTTTCAGTAATACAAAATCGATTGCCTCTACTCTAATTGTCTCTAGAGCTGGGGTTTTTTTATTTCAAATTTTTTTCATATCTGATTTTGTCTAATTTTGAAAACATGCATACTGCAGGTAACTTCCAGATGCCTGGTGTCGTTTGGGGGTTGTCTTATTCCAGCATTAGCTGACACCTCAGCATTGGCTTCTTCCCATGCTGTCCGATACCTGTTTAGTATGAACATTCCCCAATGCCAGGGTCTGAGACATCTCTCCCATTGCTTATACCCCAAAAATGAAAATGCCAATGTAGTGATATCTCTAAATTAAGAGAGATTATGTCAGTTTGTTTGCTTGAGGTTTTTTAATTTTGGTTGGCTGGAGGGCTGGGTAGAGGCTTGGATCTTTTCAGAAAGGGCGGAGAGATGAGGATAATGGGCATAGAGGGGAAAGAAAATAGTTGCTTTTCCAACTTAATGTCAGGAGCTGTTCTGCTATCCTTTTTGGTAGCTGACATGCTGCAAAATATTGCCCAGTGCAGCTGAGGGCTGGATGCAGTGGTGGCAGCCTGTTACTGCTGTGTCAGAGAGAAGAAATGTTAGAGGCGTTTTGTCAAGTGTAGCTCAGTTTGTTGAAGCTCAAGGCTGAAAATCCTGTGCTGCTAAGTTACATGTAAATAAAGGTGTCTTGGCCTTTACAAAGGTGACAGATGGGCCCCCATGCTCCTGAGGTTTCTAAGTCAATGTGTTTGGTTCTCAGTGAATTTAAGAGAATTACCTCAGCCCTGTGATCTCCATGGACATAAATGTAAATGTATATTCCCCACAGTTCTATCAGTGTTGAGCTCGTGCGTATTTTTATGATAAAAAGATATTTTCCTTTATGATCACAGTCCAAAGAGCTAGTGTTACAAATAATCTGTCAGGAAGATGTCTGCTGTAAATGGCTGGTCTGGAAATGCTGACTGGTGTCACAACTACTTACAAGGAGAAATCATACTTCCTGCATTGTAAGAAATGGTTTTCTGTTTCCAGGACTGAGATGTAACCAAATACTGCTTTCAAGCTGTTCTGCAATAAACTGGCTTGGACATTGTATATAAGCATTTAGTTCTGGTACATGCTCAGTGGTTCATCGGAAGTTACCTGGGTGGGAGGGCAATGGGATGCATTACTGATGTATGCCCCATGCAAAGCCAAACCAACTCCAAAGTATTGGGGATGTGGGGGAAAATAATTCCAGCTAAGTGGATAACAGATGTGTTGTGGCAGGTGTAAAGCTGTACTTTATGGAAACTACAGTTACAGAATCATAGATTGGCTTTCGAATGTCTCCTTACTACCTCTCTGGGAAGCCTGGTCCAGTGCTCTGTCACCCTTACAGAAAGTTTTTCCTTATGTCTAAGTTGAACCTCCTCTGTTCTAGTTTGTGACCGTTGCCCCTTACCCTGTTGCTGGGCACAATCGAGCAGAGCCTGGTCCCATGCTCCTTAGCCCCACACTTTAGATATTTATAAGCATTAATGAGATCCCCCTCAGCTTCCTCCAGGCTAAACAGATCTAGCTCGCTCAGCCTTTCCTCATATGGGAGATGCTCCAGTATTCTTATGTTCACTTGGAAAAAAAGCAACCCACAAAAAAGCACACAATGCCCCCAGAACTCAAAAAATGGATAAGCATACCTCTACAAAGAGCAGAGAAAACTAACCAGAAGGTTCACCTCCTCACGAAGGCTGGGACAGGCCTGGGTTGAGGGGCTTCCTACCGCACATATGCAGCAGGAGCCCTTGCAGAGG